AGCTCAGTAGATGGAAAGCCTTGAATTTCTGAAGGGAAGGCATATTTTATCCACTATTCATTCTTATGAAGCATCTCCAAACCTTATCCAATATATATCAAATTTTTCAGCATTCTTCTTGTTTTGTGGACACCAACTTTTGGTGCAGTATTGCAATAGCAGCATACCCCTGCACGTAGAGGGGTAAGATAGTCCCACAAATCCAACTCAGTAGCCCCATGTTATGCCTTTGAGGATCACTGTGTCACTTTGGGTGCTGCTGTTCTACTGATATTTCTCTAAGACCTTCAGTTCTTCCACAGAATCACTGCTTCCTAAAACACAGGTCCTTCCTATTGTGGTGTTTTTCATTCTATTGTTATTACTTGGATAATGAGATGTACGGAGGTCTGAACTCCTTTGCTTCTGGTTAGTTTAATAAATGATGTCTGAATTTTATATCATTGACTTGGCCTCATCTCTATTCTGTGTCCTTTCTAACAGCTATTAATAATTATTTCCTCTGTTCTTCCGTGTCTTTGCGGCTGTCCATTAGAAGCACATGCACTCGTATGAGTAATGGTTCTTACTTGAAGTTGCGCATTGCATGCCCTCAGTTGCTTTGCTTTAATCCCTTTATTAATTCTCTCTGTTGTGTTATAGCACTGTAGTTTCTCTGTTAAAAAAATTGCCTTTTAGGAATGTGTCACGCCGTCATTTGATTAGACTTTACCAATCAGAGCGATATTTTATCAGCAACAGAGAAGACAGAGTCTGAAGTATGAGATGATTTATTCTTAATCTCCTGCTGAGGCCATGAGGATGGTACGATGCCAGTGTTATACCTGTCATTGTTTGTATTAGCTTCCTTTAATTGTATTTTAATGGGGCTGAAAACCAGATTTTGCTCTATTTTGCCCAGAATTGATATCACAGCTCACAGCTTATGCTTACATAGGTCATCTCACCTACTTTAAGAATGTCATTGCACATTAGATTTCTTCCAGTTTTCTGGGATTTTCTTTCTATTCCAAACCTACTGAAAATCTACATTAGCAGTCCGGAGATGCCAGCCAGCTCCTCTGTAGTGCTTGGCTGCAAGGTATACAAATCTGAAGATTTAAAAAGCCCAACTGGCATGCGTCCTCCTGCATTACTTTGGAATATAAAGTATTTTGTTCTACCAGTTGAAGACATTGTCTATTGTAAAACAGAAGTATTTGTCAGTTATCACTGATAATTTGAACATTTCCACGTCAAAGTTTTAGTGCAGGTGAAAGCCGGAAGAGATGGCCAGGTCTTCTGAGCGTCACAAACAAGAGAATATGATCTGGTTTCCTTCTGATGTGCACTGAGCTACGTAGGGGACGGGTACCTTTGGCCCTTTTAGGGCTCGTGGTGAGGCAGGTATCCATGAAAAACCCGGCGTGCCTCTCCGGGCCCTCGTGTCCCAATATGGAATACCTTGGCTGCAGCAGTCTGCAGCATCCAGCAAGGAGAGTCAATCAGCCACTGTATTAAGACATTTAAATCCAGTTAAAAGACCAATTAGTGTAATGAAAGAGGTACTGAGAAAACTGTAATTTGCTGTGTCTACGTGTTCCTATTGAAATAATTTTTCCCTGTTGGAAACTGTAGTCTGTCAGTCCCTGGCTATTTAAAACGGCAACAACAATAACCTGTTGTTGCTTTCTTGTGCTCCCAGCCTTTATCCTAGCTGTTGTTGGAGACAAGACAGTGGTATTCATGGGCAACAATAAGACTGTTATGTTTTATTGTGGTTTTTCAAAGCTATACTCTGTTCTAGCCATTATAGAAGGATCGCAGTCAGCTGAGGGATGTTTACATACCACTTCCATACCCTAATCAGAGCGATAAAAGAAAGTTCATTGTAGGCAGCGGGGGAGAAATTCAGCGTGGCAGGTTGCGACTTGTGCTCCATGAAGAAATAACCCAGGGAAGATATCGCTGTCCTGCCTAGCGTGCTTTTGTTTTTGGCCTCTGCTCCAGTATTATGAGCGCCAGTAACAGTTGTTGCAAACTGCTTTTTCAGACGACTGCTGTGATTGTTTGCTCTGGGGTAATATTAATTTTGCGGCTGTACTAAGTAAGGAAACGGTTTGCGGGAACATCAAGGGCACGACTGTCTCGCTTGCCCTGACAGCAGTTTGCTGTGGCCGCACGAGGGGGCCGCTCTTGAATGATGGTTTCTGGTGTGCCCAGAAAAGCGCCTGTGGTGACCTCTGCCAGCAGGATCAGCTGGATCCTTTCCGGGAGCGGGGTCTTCCCAGAATCTTCGAATGTGGAGCCTCACGCCGTCGTGCGCTGGGGGCCGAGGCGTTCCTCAAGTCTTGTGCAAGCATCTCCACATCCCTCAGTCTGCTCAATGCTGCAGAAAGCCCTTCCCAGGCTTTGTAGTGGCAGCTGATTTCACAAGACGCAGAGCGACCTAGGGAAATCATGTGGCTGCCCGAGGTCATCACAAAGGGGCTGAAGATACCAAGCCTGCAAACATATGGGCTCAGGCTGAGGCTACATTTTTGACACAGTTGTCAGACAAAGCAGAAATTCCTCAGCATTCCCACTTTCCAAACACAATGTCCTTGACTTTTGACGCCTTGGCTTCTGAGGACTGTAAGCGCTGGCTGAATTCGTGGGAGGTTGAGAGAGAGGGAGGGAAACAGAGCGGGAATCCTAATAATTAAAGCTTGCAAAGTCTGGGACTTGGCTGTAGTAGGGGTTGAGCAAGATGCCTCCTTGCTTAACTGACTTGAGAAGTATCCTAATATCACTGCCCCTTCCTGGCATCTTGAAAGGTGATGGGGCAGGAAAAGAGGTCTGAGGAGATCCCTCCCAGACGACGGGGTCACAGTGCCAAGTCATTTCTGATACTGGACAAATGTTGTTTCTTGGGCTTAAAAGTTCTTCATGATAAAATAAAGGCTGTTTTGATTGAACAATAAAACTTGTGACCATGGACATTATTTTTAACTACATATAAGTGGCTTTTGGTGTTTCTTCCCATGACTGCAGTGTGACTTTTTCTGTAATTTACCATGGTGCTGTGTTAGTCATCACCAGCCTGCATAGGCTGCTGGTGTAGGATGTAGCCTCAAGCTGGGCGGTTAATCAAACGCTATGGCAAACGCCCCCCTTTCTTGCTAAAAGTGTCTGAGTGCCTATTCCTGGAGCAGCTGCTAGGCTGGGGCTGCAAAGAGTTTCTGTGACCTGCTCGTGCGATGTGATTCTGTGATGTGAAACCTTGAGAATCAGATTCATTTATATGCCCAATGGAGGTTGAAAAGAGGCCTTACCATTATTCTTAGCCAATGTTTCGCAATTCTGTCGGGAGCTTACTCCTCCTCAGCAATACCTTTGGTTCCTTCAGGAGATGAGGAGAGTGAAGCTGATGGGTCAGAACCCCAGGCAGGATCTTGAGCAAGGGGTGCTGACCCTCTCTGTGGTCTTGACGTCTCTTGTGAGTTTGGCTAGTCTGTCTCGTCCATGCACGGAGGGCCAAAGCCCATCGTTAAACTTGTCTGAGAAGGAACCTTTCTCCATCTGATGTTCCCTGAGACTTTGGGGTTTGTCTTCCTCTGCATTGCAGAGCACAGTTGTCTTCCTAACCTTACCTGGGAATTTCACCTAATAAATTCCCTGCCTCTACAGACAAGTAGGGCAGCAGTAAAGCATTTTTATTTCTCTTGCAGCCTATTACATGTATAACTTTTAATATTTTACTGTAGATCATGCAGTCTTCTTGGCTGATTGAGGGAATTCTATATAGACTGTTATTGAATGAAAATATCCAAATACAAGAAGCAGGAAGGAACAACTGTTACTGTGTTGACTGACTAGCTATGCAGAGTATTGCATTCTGGCACTCGCTTAAGCCTGTTGTTCTTGAGGTACGTGAAGCAGCGAAGCCCCACTGCAACCTGTGCGTGCTCAGGGAAATACTGCTGAGAGAACAGCCAAGTTCCAGTGGGGATTGCTCTTCTTGAGGTATTCCTGGGAATTGCTTCCCTACTGGGATGGTGGTGGTCGCGGGGATGTATCTGTTGTGAAGGCACCGGTAGGCTGGTAAGAACTGAGAATGGTTATGGTGCCCCTGTTTTTAAGAATTGATTTTCGTTAAAGCCAGTAAGTAAAAGTAAGGAAGAATAAACTTCATTCTGTTCCCTGATGAAATGAGCAATTTTTCCATTTCAATGATAATCATCAGAAAACTTGCCTTATTTTTTTTTCATTATAAAATCTCAGATTGCAATTACACCTACAGTTGTTGTGTCACCTACTGCCTCTGTAAAACCGAATGTTGACTGCAAGTGTTTCCAGGAGACTGAAGGCAAGATAAAAATGCCAAGTAATTGGTACTGTCCGCTCTTCATTCAATTTATTTAATGTATTGCAGAAAATATGAGGAAGGAAAGGGGAGATCTTCAGAGAGCTGCATGCAGTTTTGTTTGGTTGTGGTTTTGGAAGTAGGGGAACAAGGAGAAAACAATGTTTTTGAACCTCTTCTAGCAAATGTCAGATCTCTGTTTTAATATTTCGTGTCATGTGGCTTCTTTCCGATGATCAGCTGGATTCTAGGGGATCAGAGCAGAGGGAGGGATACTTCTCAGCCACAGGAGATAGGAAGAAAGTGCCACTGTGGGTGGGGAGGACACAGGCACACAGACTGCGAGAGAATTTGTGCTTTGTGGAGCTGGGTGCAAAATACCCTACAAATAGGCAGTACAAAATTACTGAGGTAGAATTATTTGATTTATAATCAATAAGTTTAAAATAAACTTCAAAGTAAGTTTATAGAACAGTATTTTAGAATTCTTCCTGTGAGATTTGTTAGATAAGTCTATTAGATGTTTGTTTTCTGGACAACTTTGTATTTGTATACTAACTAATTATAACAGAAAAAGCTAATAAATTATGTATCTGTGTTAAACAGCTTGCTTTTAAAAAGAAGGAAATTGGCCAGAACTGTGATTTCTTATACTATTTTTATCTTTCTCCTAAAGGGCAACACTTTAAGGAAAATACTCCTGTATCGCTACTTTAAAGGAGACTATGGAAGTGGTATGAATGGACCTCTGTCTGGTAGCTACAGCAAAACTGCACAAGTGGGAGGTAAATAAACACAGATCGTTCGAGGAAAACAAAATTAGCATCATCATTGTTTCTAATAGGTGCACTGGAAGTGCTCAAGGGATTTTATTGATGACTAAATCAAACAAATTTTGTAACTTGATAGAAGAGAAGGAGAATCGGACTTTCCCCTTTGTTAAGTTGTGTGCTCCTGTGTGGGATGGCGTTTGTGCATTATCGGACTTTCCCCTTTGTTAAGAAGTTGTGCGCTCCTGTGTGGGATGGCGTTTGTGCATGGGGCAGCACCAAAGTAGGGACCTTCCCTCTGCAGCCTCCCAGACTAACGATTTGGTTCAGCTGAAACTGGCAACACAATTTTAATTCGCCAAGAAATCCACATGTGAGAACTTCTGAAGAAGGTGTTGCTGTTTCTGGAAAACGGATTTCTGAGCTTCCGGTTCCATTACTGATATGTGTAAAAAAGTAGATACAAGGGAAGTCTTTCACAGAGAGAGGCAAAGCACTGGAATGGATTTCCCACACAGGCTATCGGAAGTTCTTGAAGTTATTCAGGACTTCACTGGACAGGACTCTGAGCAACCTACTCTCCACAGTTAGATACAGCGTGAGTGGGAAGTTATTAAAGAGACAGCTCTGAAGAAAAACCCACAAAATAATGCATGGAGTAAGAAATGAGTAAAAAAATGGGTATAGAGCCAAGTCATGATATAGCTTGCCATTCTCAGCATATATTGAAGGCGTGTGGGCATTTCTGAATGTTCTGTTTCAATCTTAGCTGTTTCAGGGTCGACATTTCGGAAATATTTATATGCTGAATATCCTGTACATCAGATTTTGCTCCCAAGCAAGCAGAAATGTAAAGATTTAATATTTCTTTATATAAAGTATCTATGTGTGTGGCGACCTTATACAGAAGATTTGAGACATTTTGCCAGTACTGCTTTGATTAAAGCAATACCATACTTTCCTTCATAAAATAGTTTAAAAATGAATATAGCAGGAAAGATGATAATCTGGATTAAGAAAATGTGGTCAACTGATGATTTGCTACAATTTTGCGAATTCTCTTGAAATAACACCTTCATTAATTTAGACTAACTCAAGTCTCTGTTTTAAAGAACATCACACTGATGCTAATAGACTAGGAACTGTATTGGCAAAAGCATTTAGTTAAAAGCTCATACCCGTCACCAGATCTTTCACTCCATTTCTGCGAACTGTAAATGTATCCAGTTTCTTCAAAAGTGGTATCAGATTTCAGCATACGCAACAGCGGAATTAAATAGTGGTTCTGAGGACAAGTCAGTGTAATTTAAATATTCTTTATTGTCCAAATATCACAATAGAACAGTCGTTTATGGTTCTGTTTCTTGTTGCCAGAGCTCAGCATTGCAGTTTCATGCAAAGATTTCATTTGTATCAAGATTTTTTCCTCCAAATTTTGAGAGTAAATTCATTGTGCAACATCTATGTGCAGCAGACATTATCAATGCCTTCATTTTTATAGGCATATATTAGCTGTGTAAAACAAACATAAATGGCATCTATTTGTCTAATTTGCAGGTGGATTTTCAGGACAAGACTCGGATAAGTCTGGAGTATCCATGTTTGATATTCAGTGTCTTCTGGATAAAGAAGGGGCATCAGAACTAGTCATAGATGTTATAGTAAACACTAAAAATGACAGAATCTTCTCAGAAGGCATTTTGCTTGGTATTGCATTGCTTGAAGGTGGAAATACACAAACACAGGTACTTATTTCATTCACTTACTCACATAATGCTTTTCAAATGCGTGTGGTCTGGAGACAAATGAACTTTTTTGCAATGAGTTCTGTGAAAACTTTCTCCCGTCAAACACTGTATGCCTCTAACACAAATGTACCTGTTCCTTGTATGTATGCAGTATTTCATATTGTAGACTCTTCAGCAGAGGAAAAGACTTTTCAACTGTCCCTTCCTATATAGTACCATACTTCTAAAAATCTGTTCTTTGCCATACCATTATTATCTCCAGTTATTTCATGTTTCAGAGTCTCCAAAGAGAGAACAACCGCCTGTTTGAGAAGACATATAATCCTTACTATAGTTACAGAATGGCATAACTGTTTTAAACAGTGGGTTCTAGTTTGCATGTATGATATTCCTCTTACCTTCTTTTAGCCAAATAAGGTGGTGGTTTATTCTTACCTATGAACAGCAGAGATATCAGAAAAAAGAACAAAGTGCAAAGATCATAAATCACGCCCTGCAGGTGCCCATATCTTGCCTATGAAGGGAGCCTAGATAACCAAATTATACCTCATTTCTAGACTATGAAAGTTAAGTGAGAGGAATTCCATCTTTTATATTTATGAGGTAAAAGAGATAATACAATCTGTCACTCTTAAATATGTCCATTCATTTTTTTTTCTTTGCAAAATAACATTTGATCAAGAAAATATGAAAGAAGGGAGGTTTTGTTGTAGCTTTCTAAAATTAATTGTGGGGGTGCTTAAAAGGCCTTTACTTGTAAGACAGAGTTTGTAAATTGAACAAAAGGATATTCAACCTGCTTGATAGTAATACTAGGCCACCAAAGAGATTAATTCTATTTATGTGTTTGCAAAGCCGAAAGAATGCATTATAATCTAAACTGTAATAGTACGCATAGATATTTAAAATTTTTCTTATTGTTTTTTTTTCCACATTTTCACAATTCTTCATAGATGGAATAATCTAATAATTATAATTATATTCTAATAGATGGAATAATCTAATAATTAGAATTCTAGAAAGCCTAGATAAATGGAGTGTCACAAAACAATGTAACTTAAGCATAGTTTTGCAACATCTTAAATACTGTTAAAAAAATCAGATTTTCATCATTTTCTCCACCTTTTAAAGTATTACTATCAATTTTGTTGCCAGTCCTGTATATCACTTTATGGAAGAGCTGGTCAGGCAGTAGCCACTGTTTGTTTTGTATAAATGAAGCAACTGCTTGATGGTGTATTTCTGTATTTCTTCTCCCTCAGGACAGATATCTAAATAGTATCTTTTCTTGCAGTATTCAACTTACCAGCAATTGAAGGAACAAAAAAAGTCAGAAAAATTCTTTAAAGTCCTGTATGACCACATGAAGGCTGCGCAGCAGGAGATACGATCAACAGTGACAGTTAACACCATCGATTTGGGGAGCAAAAAGAAAGATGATGATAGTGACCTAACTGTATCTGTTCCCAAAAAGAGAGGTAAGGAGGCACACCTGAGAAGAGAGAAGCAGCAGCACGTTGTAGACAAACTGAATGTATTGCTGCACTGATGCTACGAGGCACAGATCAATGCCTTTTATTAGTAGTCACATCTAATTTACATCACTTGCCTGTTCTTCTCTAAATTATTGGCCATTTCTTAAGGTGTTTCCACCAGGTTAGCTTTCATGAAGGCACTGAAGCTCTGCCAGTTTGCACCAGTGGAAGATACAGCCCCATATTTCAAAGGCAGCTACTAATGGGGCTGTTTCACAAGACCAAGAAGAGGAACCGATTTCCCACCCTGCGGTCCTTCCATTGTTCTCATCATTTATTGTATATGGAAGAGAAATACTAGGGCTTTTTGTTTTAATGTTCTGCTTCAGTCTGGTTTGTGGTTTCTTCGGAACATGTTATCCCTGCATGAATGTTGCCTTGATATTCTTTGTAAAGTCGCCTAGAGGTCTTCGAAAAGTTAGGCACCCAAAAAGAAAAAGTTGCATTCATTATTATTGTTTCCTTATTGTTTAATCAAGCAAGGAGAAACATTTTGAAAAATGAAGGAAAATTATCTTTATTTTCAGTAAAGGATTCCACGCTGCATCTGAAGGAGGGTATGAAAGGACAGTTAACAGAAGCATCTTCTGCAACATCCAAGGCTTACTCTGTATACCGGAGAGAAATGGACCCAGAAATAGATCTCATGGGCTCAGGGGCGGATGCTGCAAATGCAGAAGAGAAGTCTACAGAAGAGGCGATAATGAGCCCTGCTATCGCCATCATGCAGCCAATACTGCGGTTCCTTCAGCTGCTGTGCGAGAACCACAACCGAGAGCTGCAGGTAGAGTGTTCCTCAGCTGAGCTCAAAATAATCCTGCCAAAGGAGTATCACATGAGCCCCCTTTTGCCCGAAATTTGTGAGGGAAGAAAAACATGCCTGTGTCTGGTTCCCTTTACAGAACCAGGGCCCTAAAATACCATTCTTTCTGTCCAAAAGATAAAATAACCCTTTCCCAGAACCATTTTTGTGCTCTGATGCTACATGTGTCCCCACTATCAGTTCCTCCTGTAGAAATCACTATGTCTGTAGCAGCCCCTCCAAAAGGAGTTTTCTGCAGACGTGCCTCAGCACGGTGTCCAGCAGCCTTCCTTAAACCAGTGTGGGCACTGGCTGGACCCAAGATACTGCCACAGCAAAAGACTAGTCATAAGGTACCCTGGTACCTGCTCTTTCTTACCAGCTTCCTGGGAGGAAAGAAGGGTCGGTACCGTGAGCCCGATGGGGGCCCATGTGCAGGAGATACAGAGGACATCCGGGGCCAGAGCAGATGTTTGCAAAATTCACATGCATAAACTCTCCTCCTTCCTCCTTGAATCAGATAGTAGTTCTCAACTGCTGCACTGGCCTATATTTTCTACAGTGTAGTGTGCTCCACTACCTAAGTGATCGTGTGGTTTTAAATTGCACATTATTACATTATTATTTAGTTACTAAAAAGACTATGTTTGAATTTAGCTCTTTTTTTGTATTCCTTTTCTCCATCCACCAGAATTTTTTAAGGCATCAGAACAACAAAACAAACTACAACCTTGTTTGTGAGACCCTGCAATTTTTGGACTGTATCTGCGGAAGTACAACAGGTGGACTGGGCTTATTGGGACTTTACATCAATGAGAGGAATGTGGCTCTTGTGAACCAGACTCTGGAAAGCTTGACTGAATATTGCCAAGGTCCATGCCATGAAAATCAGGTAGGGCTCGAATAACTTTTGGATCCAGAAGAATCTCCCCGAGCTGGTCGTGTATGTGTGGACATTGTACAACTCCTTTGTGTTCTTAATAACATAAACTCTCCTTCAGTTGGTATGACTAAACTCAGCACATTTTGAACGTTCATAAGGCTTGAGAAATCCTTTTAAGTCAAAACTCAAACTTGGCTCTTTCTGTAGTGTATGTCAGCTTAAGTAGAGGCTTTCTGGCCCTTTTGGAGAGGGTTTTATGTCCGAATATAGCAGGCTCTGCTTTAAGCCGTAGTTTGCTACACTTTGGATTTCCCCTCATAATTATGGAAGTACATTGCAAATGCAATCTTGCACTCTCCTTTTTCATGCCTCTTGTCTTTGGTGGTCTTTATGCAAGTCACTAAAATATTTTTTCCTTAATTTACATAAACACCACAAAGTTGAACTAGCTGTCCACTGTGCTACCTGTCAGCATCTTTAATTATGATAGCAGTAAGGAAATGAATAAGACTACAGACTATCTACATGTTTCCGTGCCTTGCTTAATGCAGGCTTTTAAAAGCATATAGTTATGGCTTTTGGTAGGTGCATCTTTAATGCCATGCTGAAGCAGTATAGAAGGATAGGGAAACCAGTTACGTGCTACTATGCTTGATTTGAAGAAAATTGTAGTAAAGTTGTCATAATGGATGAAATTACAGAATGTTCACTATGGATTAGTATTGGGAGAAGTGTAGTGGGCAAAATTACAAGGGCACAGTCTATTCTTAATATTAGAAATAGATGAAGAAATACATGAAGTACTAAAGTTACTTCATTAAACTCCACAAATGAAGTGCAAAGTGCTTCCATTGCCATTGCCGTTAATTAAACGCCTTGTTAAAATGCTTCAAAAGCAAACAAACAAAAATCCTTTAGTAGACTAAATCTTAAATAGTCATACTCACTCTCCCCTAATGAGTGGGAAAAATCATTTGTAAAAAAAGAATGATAATTACAAGGCGGAGATGGAAAAAAACCTTTTTGCAAGATAACTTGTTCTCTAACTTTAAGGAAGAACAGTGGTAGTGGAAGGAAATGATTACTTAGATTTAATTACTTAGATGTGATGGGAAGTCACTAAGGTTTGGAGTTAGGCTCGTTTACACCACCAACAAATCTGATTTAGTGCATTTCAGAGGCAAGTCCTCCATGCTGTCATTTTCATCCTTTTTTTTTTCTCTATCTTTCTGGAAAACCTTTTCTTCCCTATTGTCTTATAAACTTATTAAAAAAAAAAGCATAGGTTTATTTAGCTGATGTTTTAATTTATGATTTAGAAGGTCCATAGATCCATTTGTAAATGCATTTGAGAAATACTGTTGGTAACAGTCACAGTTTTGAATTCTATATCCAGAGAAGTGTGTATGTGCATAAATGCATGTAGAAAAATACAATATTTAGAGACAAATCATGTTATAACATAGCCATATTAATGCTGACTGAAGAAGTTAAGTGTGCAAATTTGGTTGTGCCTCCATTCAAACGTGTCTGCTTCGTGTATGTGTAAGTGGAAAACCTTGGTCCAAATGCACTGACAGCAGAATAGAGCTCCATGGGTTAGAAAAGATGCTGGAAGGGACTTTCCCAGTCCCTGGCTCTGGCAGGACCCTTATGTGCTGCTCCCTCTGACTTGTATCTATCACTTGGTACCAAATCCTGCATGGTTCATGGCCGGGATGCTGTAGCTTGCCCTGCTTTTGCTCTAGTTGTGCGCTTACTCTTAGCAGTGTTGGGGGTAGCTCTGTGTCGAGCAAGATGCACCCTGCAGTACAGGCCCGTGCTCCTGTGGCCCCTTTTCAGGCTGCTGTGCTCTGCCCGGGAGGTTTGGTGCCATCACAGAGTCATTCGAGATCAGAGCCCTGTTTGGAAACTTGCTAATGTATCTTCCTCTCTACTCACCCCCTCCTCCTCTCCTGACCCCCTATTTATCTTTCTTTTGTAGACCTGCATAGCCACTCATGAGTCCAACGGGATTGATATTATAATTGCACTCATCCTGAATGACATAAACCCTCTTGGCAAATACTGCATGGACCTGGTCCTTCAGCTAAAGGTACAGTAATTTTTTTTAATTTAAATTTAACAATACATTTAACAATACATTTAACAATAGAAAAGATACCTGTGCAAGAGCTCTAGGCAACCTGACATTTACTTAATCTTACTGTAGCATAATGTACTCAGCAGCCTTGGAAAACAAATGTTGCAAACAAATTCAGCTCAGCTTCTGAATCAGCATCAGGCCCTTTGCCATGGGCCATCTGACCCATTGCTGTGCCTGGGAGCATTGCCTTCAGCTTTTTTTTCTTTTTAATAATCCTATCAAACAGATATTATATATTTAGCATGAAGCCTCCATACTCTGGGCGTAAAATCTCACTGGACTTATAAATGGTTGCAGTGTTTGGGTAATGAGGCAAGTCAGACTGGAGAAGGAGAGGTAGCAGATAATAATATATCAGATGACCTGCAATTAAAATGTCAAATAAAGCTTATAAACAAGGTAAAGGTAAATTGTATTTTATCTCACTCTTCAAGCGTCCTGTGTCTGTGTAGGGTGTGTGGGAGGTATCGTGGGGGAAGGCTTGTGGCTTGTTTTGTGTTCTCTAGAAAGCAGAGTAGGATACTAGAGAAGCTTCCGCAGCCCATGTGCCATTGCATGCAGAGGGGAGCCTTGCAGCTCTGCTGTGTGCCAAGTAGGGTAGAACTTGTCTAGAAAAAGCAAGCAAGGCGAAGCATTTCCAGTGCAGATGGTCTGTTTCCTCTGCAAACCAGCACATACTTTGTGGTAGCTGCATTGCATCATACTGGCAACATTATGGATGTCTAATAAAATAATTAATGCAGCTATATATCATGTACAATGAAACATTGTATCAACAGTGTTTTACACATGATTTTAATAACTGTAATTACATTTTTGAGTGGCAATTTAATTCAGGCCCCCCTGAAGCAAAACATTTAAGCAGACAGTTAACTTTGAACATGCAGATAGTTCTTTTGAAGTTTAAATTCCAGTCCCTATAAAGATCCCACTACATTCATTGCAGTGCCATTTTAGTTTTCCATATCATGTAGCTAGCAGATAGATGTAAAATAAGTTTGCTATGCAATACCCAAGAGCTTATTGATGTTACTACTGGGATCAGTTTGGCCAAGGTCACAGGAGGCTTTATATGCACTGGTGTTACTAAAACAAAAGTTGTAGTAAATGATACCAGTGTTTCAGACCGTGGGCCTGATTCTGATTTCAAGAATTAGATCCACATTACTGGCCATTGTTGTGAACGATGAGACATGCAGAAAACACAGCACTGAGTTTACCAGATAATGTTTAATGTTGTTAGTCTGTCACTGCTAGGCAGTTCTGGAGTTGAAAACACCCTAAATCTTGCACTGAAAATGCCAAGTGCAGAGTGTGTAGGCCCACCCAGTTATACATACACACAAGCATGGACCCTGTTTTCAGGGAACATTATGTGTCAAAGACATCTCCCCCCCCCCCGAAAGCTAGGCAATGCACAATTATGTTCTTCCATGCCCTCCTAATTTGGCTTGTTTTGCACATGCTTTGTGATGTGGCAATTAATGACATCCTCATGAATTGTGTTTTCCACTGGACTCCTGAATCGTTTGGTGAGCAGGAGAGAGAGCTCATTGAATGAGCAGCGGCCCATGTTCTGTTCTGCCCTTTCTCGTGTTGACTGTAGAACCCAGCCTTCTTTCTGGGTAGTAATCAAGGCCTGGCACGTAATATAAGAGCTCAAGCTCTGCTGCATGCACACTGGCAGGAGGAAGAGATGTTGTCAATCTAGCAGCTCTCGCAATCCCCTAGAAAAGAGTGGGGAGGCAAATTATGAATGTTGGCTTTGTTCGGTTTCATGTGGGGAGAACCCCCACAAAGAGAAATGAAGGGCAAAATTAACTTGAGGGTATCCATTTTGTAACACCTAGGTACTGATTCTTCACATTACTAGTATGTTTGAAGAGCTCTGTCTTTGTAGTTAGTGGTCCTCTTTTCCCCTTCGGGAGTAGAATCGTATCCCAGAGTCTCAAAGTATCCAGAAAATATGGAACAATTAAATGAGCATTTTAAAGTTAAGTGATCAGAGCAATAGTGAAGGGAAAGCAGAAAGTGGCTTAACACTCCTAAGCTTCCCTTTCTGGAGCTAAAAAAAGGGAGGGTGACAGCTGACTGAAATTGTGAGCCAGCAGCAGGAAGACAGAAGTTTCTACCAACCCTACCTTTCCTCCCTTCCTGAGAAGTGCAGAGGCTTCCCTCCATTCCCAAGCTAGTCTCTGCTGGGAATGGTTTCAAACTGCTCCTCACCCACGAGGGACAGACTGCAGCCTTCTTCCAGTGTTTCCTGCCCTTCCTCCAAGAGCTACCTGGCAGCCAGTCTTGTCCCCCTCCCTCCTGCTCGTTTTGAGATCCTGCCAGTGCTGTCACAACTGCCGTGCTCCTCAGTGCAAGGGAGCTCCTGAGCAGAAATAGAAGAACCCAGCTCCAGCTCTTCACTATGAAAAAAATAATCTAAAGAATCATGTGGAAGTTTCTGATCATTGTGAATACCAGCCCCTTCTCCTCCAGGCAGTCTCAATCTGAGCTCGTCCTTATCCTTTTTTACTTGTCTTTATCTCATTCTTCCTGCATAGGCAAGTGCAGTCACCTCTTTCCTCTCCTCTCACTCCATGCCCAATCTCCTCTCCCAGAAAGTCCCACTTCCCCTGTCATGTACAAATCCTCATTCTGATCGTCCGCCCTCCTCCTGCCTTCCCCTTCCTTCTCCTGCTGTCTTCTAATGCCACACTCTTCAAGCTGTCTGTACCGCTCTTAATACAATTGTTTAGTTGTTTGGCATTCTCTTACTGCATTCTGATTTCTCTTTCTTGTTTCCACACCTTTTTTTTTTTTCTGATTTTTTACTTCCAGTTCCAGTTCCAGTTTACTCTTCTATCTCCTCATGAGATAGTCTGGACTTTATTTAGTTGTCCACCCAGTAATACTAGAACCACCTGTGGCTGTTTGGCCTCCAGGTGCTACTCCAGGAGTGATATTTCCTATGAGCCCTTGGAGGGTGTCTGAAATACCTCCTAATTCTTCTTGTTGGTTCCCTGCCTTCAGGTCCTTTCCTAGCCTCGCTCCAGCTGCTCCTATTTTGTGCTTTCTTGCACTAAACTTCTGTTCCACCTCACTCTCCGTTTTGCCCAAGTCCCACTCTAACCTCTTTTAAAGCAGGCAGCACTTTTCCTCCTTGTTGCATGTATAGGCAGGTGGTATAAAAGAGCAAGTGTAGGCTGGTCTGTGGTTCCTGATGCTGGAGCATACTGTTCAGAAGGAGCTGGAGAAAATGGAAAAATGCCCGTATGGGAACCTTATGAACTTGAGAAAAAGGCAGATGCAAAGTCTCACGTCCTGAATGAAGTAACCCCATGTGACAGAACAGGCTGGGGACTGACTACAAAAAAGACACTGTAGAAGTTGTTCGGTGGTCCTGGTAGACAAGAAATTGAACTGAAATCAGCACTGCACCTTTGCAGAAAAGGCCAGGAGTGTCCTGGACTGTATTGCAAGAGTTCAGCCAGCAGGTTGAGGGAAGTCCAGCATTAGCAGTGGGTTCCTCTTCCTTGGACCTGTTCAAGACTCGACTGGACACAGTCCAGAGCAAACTGGTTTCACTGGACCTGCTTTGAGCTAGGAGTTACATTGCTGAAAGGGTAGGGCAAAGGAGAGCTGGAAGCTTCCAGAGGTCCCTTCCAACCTCCATGGTTTTGTAGTTCTCTAGCCTCTGAGAAGAAAGTCTGTGGACTTTTAGCTGTGACACTCTAGCAAACTTCTGCAGTATTGTATTCAAATAATAATTTAGAAAATGCTTATGAGTTGGCCAAGTCTGGGTGGATTTCCCTGGGGCCTACAACGTGTATGCTTCTGTTATCTTGGCCTCTAGCCCTCCAAATTTTCAGCTCTTATATCAAAACTTGGCAATACAAGAGCTGCTCAAAACAGAAGTTGGTGGAACGTGCAGAAAGTGACATCCTCTTTTTTCCTGCCTCAGTCCTAAGAACAGCTGAACCCTTTTCCTCGGAAATTGTCCATATTAATCATAAGGCACACCCTCATTGTGAGAAATTTCAGTTCGAAATGCTGAAATCTGGCAAGAGAGAGAGGAGAATGAGGTTATATCATGGGTTTTAGTGTTTTCTTAGCCCCTATCCTTGTTATGGGACTACTTTCTCCTTCCAAGCATTCAAACCATCCAGTCTGTAAAAGGCAGCAGAGGAGGGGATGCTGCCTCGTGCTGAGACGTGAGTCAAAGCAAACGCGCTTGACCAGAAAGCCATCATGGGGGAAGTAGTTGGGAAGCCACATCGAAGAGGTGAACGTGAGTGTGGCGTCTCACAGGTGAGCAAATTTAGCTGTTTAACTTCCTTGCAGCAAGGTGCTGCATTACAGAGAAGTTAGACTTCTTAGCCAGAATCACACAGGAAGCTCCTGGCAGATCTAAGACTCGTGGTCTCTGATGTAGAGGTCTCTTACGATGCTTTAAGCTCCAAAAGTTCTTCCTTTCCTGTTCGCTGCCATCCATTTAACTGTAAGTAACACAGGTCCTCCAAGTCTAAGGCACACTGGGTTACTGCTGATAAAACTCAGGATATTCCATCCTTGGGAGAGATCTCTGTGAAAAGCAGACAGCTGAAAAAGTAAAGGATATCTTTATGCATTCCTTTAGAAATACTTGGCATGAAACAAAAATCCAGGGATGTAGGAGAACAGTTTGTTTTATAGCCCCCAAATAATAGCCAGTAAGACTTTATAAAAAGCAAAGGAGAAAGAAAGGTACCTGAATGATAAAACCTTTTGTGTAATACCTTTTGTAATTACCTCTGTTGAGAATTGTTTTAACAAAATGCCATGGCAAAAATTGCTAGGTGGGCAATAAGAAAGGCAAATGGGAACTCATTTCTGGTGCACAGTACAGAACAAAGCCCTGAATTTAAGTCAGATATTTCTCAATATTTAAAATGCTCTTCCAGTGTAGCTTGCATGGTTAGTTAGCCTTATAGCATGCTGACATTAAAATGGGAAGAAAACCTATTAAATATGTCAGTAAAACAAAAGATGCAAGCAGTTTAAAATCTTAGCCGCTTAAAAAAGTGGTCTTCCTAATCTCAATTAAAACAAATGCAAGGATCGTTAATCCATGAAATAGATTTTAAATTTGCATTAACTTGCCTTTGTATCCCTAGAACAATGCCTCCAAGCTTCTGCTGGCTATTATGGAAAGCAGGCATGACAGTGAGAATGCGGAGAGAATCCTTTTCAACATGAGACCAAGGGAACTGGTGAGAAAACTTTTGAATATTCATAAATCTTCTGGCTGAAAAAAAAAAAAAGATCTGGCATTAAAATATTTTAAAATGATCTACATCTGAGCTGAAGTGTGTTGGCAGCATACAGCGACACAACGTATCAGGATTGTACTAATGCACAGGAAAGTACTTTAAAAGGATCAAGCATGCATGGTTTCAGTCTTTACAACTTCATTATTTTTACCCGTTCAAGCACTTTTTCTGTAATTGTTTCCTAACTAAACTATCATACTCTGGAAGGCTGTCTTTAAGCATACTTTGTCAAAAGCTGGGAAATGAAACTTGCACGGTTTGTGAAACACTGCTAGCAGGACCATGTGTGTGTACATGTATACACATATATATACACTACCTGTTGATCTGTCTTTAAAGCGTTTGCAAAAAAAAAAAAAACCATCGTTTTACAAAGGCTCAGCATTCCTGTTCCTTTCTTGTGGGTGCAGAAGTTCTGCTGATGAGAAACGTGGCAGTTTGGAGCTTCATAAATACTTCAAGCTTTCCTTTATTCAGAAAGTGTTTCTCAGACTGCTCACTCTTCTTTTAGCATTGCAGGGCACCTGGCCAGGCTTGAGCTGAAAAAAATGTGCATGCGTTCAAACACAGCATGGGATTTTTTGTTTGTTTATTTTGTTTTGTTTTTTTTTTTCTGAAAATGGAAGTTATAACCTCTCTCCTTGGTTGGGGTTGTGTTGCAGGTGGATGTGATGAAGAATGCCTATAATCAAGGCCTAGAGTGTGACCATGAGGAAGAGAATGGAGATGATGGCATCTCACCAAAAGATGTTGGCCATAATATCTACATATTGGCACATCAGGTATGTCTTGCTTGTTGTGAAACTGCTGCTAGGAAAGCATTAAGTGCTTAAACTCCGTGCAAAACCTGTCTGATCAAAAAGAGACGTTTTCTCCTCTTGTTTCTTCTGGCTCATGTTTGTGTATGGCTTGATGTTATCGGGAATGATGCTCATAGCAGGAGAAGGAAAGGATCCCACTGTGAGAGTAGGCACTCTGCAGGATTTGGTAGACTCTGCTTATGTGAAATAACCATTTAGAATAAAGCAATTAATGCACATTTGCTTTGTCTTCTTTTTCAACATTAATGGCTCATTTATATTAATCGATTCATAAATCAAGTTATTAATACTGATTTAAATTAGCAACTTCAATTGTAATATTGCGCGAATTTGAATGGAAAAGATTAATTTTGTTTTAGATATATTAATTATTCAGACAATAGGAGCAAGTGAGATTTTTTACTGTTTCCTCCTTTGAATTTAATTGTAGTACTTCCAAGTTTTTCTCTTCACTTTTCCTTCTGTGCTGGTAAAGATAGAATGTATGTGATTATTTTTACCTTATGAGATATTTATTCTTCAGAACAGGGGATATTGAATTATTTATTTATTTTTCAGTTGCATTAAGAATA